CATTTGCAACTATCTTTTCCCATTCCGTTGGTTGCCTATTAGTTTTCTGGGTTGTTTCCTTTGCTGTGCAGAAGCTTTTAATCTTGATGAGGTCCCAATAGTTTATTTTTGCTTTTGATTCCCTTGCCCTTGGGGATGTGCCAAGCAACAAGTTGCCGCAGTGAAGGTCAAGGAGGTTGTTTCCTGCTCTCTCCTCTAGGGTTTTGATAGTTTCCTGTTTCACGTTCAGGTCCTTTACCCAATTTGAGTTTATTTTTGTGCATGGTGTGAGAAAATGATCTAGTTTCATTCTTCTGCATGTTGCTGTCCAGTTCTCCCAACACCATCTGTTAAAGAGGCTGTCTTTTTTCCATTGGATACTCTTTCCTGCTTTGTCAAAGATTAGTTGGCTGTATACCTTTGGGTCCAGCTCTGAGTTTTCAATTCTATTCCATTGGTGTATGTGTCTATTTTTGTGCCAATACCATACTGTCTTGATGATGACAGCTTTGTAGTAGAGGCTAAAGTCTGGGATGGTGATACCTCCCGTTTTGGTTTTATTTATCAGTATTACTTTGACTATTTGGGGTCTTTTGTGGTTCCATACAAATTTTAAAATAGTTTGTTCTAGTTTTGAGAAGTATGCTGGCACAATTTTGATTGGAATTGCATTAAATGTGTAAATTGCTTTGGGCAGTAATGACATTTTAACTATATTTATTCTTCCTATCCATGAGCATGGAATGTTTTTCCATTTCTTTGTGTCTTCTTCAATTTCCTTCATAAGTTTTCTATAGTTTTCATCATACAGATCTCTTATATCCTTGGTTAGGTTTATTCCTAGGTATTTTATGTTTTTTTTTTTGTTTGTGAATGGGATCAGTTTCTTGATTTCTCTTTCTGTTGCTTTGTTATTGGTGTATAAAAACGCAGCCGATTTTTGTACGTTGATTTTGTGCCCTGCAACTTGGCTGAATTCTTGGATCAGTTCTAGTAGCCTTCTGGTGGAGTCTGTTGGGTTTTCTATGTAGAGTATCATGTCGTCTGCAAAAAGTGAAAGTTTGACAGAAAGGGACTTTCTTAACCTAAGGAAAGGTCATCTACAAATACATCTACAGCTACCATTGTACTTAAAGGTGAAAGAATGAATAACTATTTGCTTATTTTAAGTGTTTATTTATTTGAGAGAGAGAGAGAGGTCAAGAGAGAGAGAGCCAGAGAGGGGCAGAGACAGAGACACAAAATTCCAAGCAGGCTCCAGGCTCTGAGCTGTCAGCACAGAGCCCAACGCGGGACTCAAACTCATGAGCTGTGAGATCATGACCTGAGCCAAAGTCAGATGCTTAACCAAGGAGCCACCCAGGCGAACCTAGCTACTTTTTAAATAGAAAACAAACAAACAAACAATGATGTCTGCGGTCACCACTCCTATTCAACATTAGAATGGAAGACATACCCAGTGCAATAAAGCAAGAGCAAGAAATATGAAGCATATATATTAGAAAGGAAAAACTAAAATTTTATCTATTTGCAGACAACTTTATTGACTGCACAGAAAACAATAAGGAAAAAAGTTCCTAGAACTTATACGTGCATTTACCAAGGTCACAGAATATAATGTCAACATACAAAATTCTACATACACATATATGCAATGAATAGTCGTAAATAAAAAATTTGTAAAGTACCATTTATAACAGCACCAGGAAAAATAAAGTATTTGGGTAAAAATATAAGAGAATATGTTCAAGAGCTTCATGTTAAAAACTACAAAATTTTAATCAAAAAGAGATAATAAAAAAGAGGATGTAAATAAATGGAGAGAGAAATTATGTTCATGAATTGGAAGATTCGGTATTGCTAAGATGTCAGTTCTGCACAAATCATTCAATAGGTTTGAAATAGGCTCAAAATCTTAGATAGGGCAACAAGTGCATTCTAAAATTCACATGGGAAGGCAAAGTAATTAGACTAGTAAAAGCTTTTTTGAAAAATAAGGCAAATTTGGATGATACCGACAATCTGATTTTAAGGCTAATTTGAAGCCTACAGTAATGAAGACTGTATGGGAATGGTGGAAAGGCCAATATATAGATTATGGAACAGAGTAGAGAGTGCAGAAATATGCCTCACGAATATGGTCAGTGATTCTTCACGAAGACACGATAACCATTCAATAAAGAAAAGATATCCTCTTCCACAAATAGTGTAAACAAATGGAATTTTTACTTAAAAATGAGGCTCCTCCTTCTGTAAAAAGTAACTAAAATCCAGTTATTGATCTACCTGTAAATTCTGGAACTAGAAAACTTTTGAGAAAAAACTGTAGAAATCCTGGTGACTTTGGGTTAGGCAAAGGATTCTTAGATACAATAAATCCTAAAAGAAAAGTTTCAGGAACTTCACTTTATCAAATCTGAAAGGTTTTGCCCTGTGAAACACACCATTGAAAGAATGCAAAGACAAACCACAGATTGAGAGGAAATATTTGCAAAGTACATATTTGATAAAGAACTTGTATCCAGAATATATAAAGAATTCCCCAAATTCAGTAATAATCACACAATCATTCTAATAAAATGGGCAAAAGATTTGAACAGTTGGATATATAAGCCCTTCTAATACTTCTTTATATGATATCCTGATATTCTAACACTGCTTTAATAATAAGGGCAGCAGTTATGTCTCATTTAAGAATTTTTTAATGTTTATTTTATTTATTTTGAGAGAGAGGAAGAGAGAGACAAAGCAAATGAGCAGGGGAGGGGCAGAGGGAGAGAGGGAGAGAGAGAATCCCAAACAGACTCCACACGGTCAGTGCAGAGCCTGACGTGGGGCTCAAACTCATGAATTTTAAGACTGTGACCTGAGCCGAAATCAAGAGTCTGACGTTTAACTAACTGAACCCCCATGAGCCCTGATTTCATTTGAGAATTTTATCTGCAAATAATTATTCAATGTATACAATGTGTTTTAGCCTTATGTGTAAGTTGGGAAGCAAATCAGACATGTCGTCTCTAGTGAAAAGGTCGTATCTTGGTGATAAAGGCAAAAAGCTACTCATTGCTACAGGTGGCATGATTGGGTAAGAACCCGGAATCACAGAATGAATTCTCTTCTTTCAGGCTTGGAAGAGCAAGGACGTCCTCCTGTAGGGAGTGACATCTAAACTGAACCAGCAGAAGTTAGGTAGACTCAAAGAATGGGAATTAGCATTGTAGTGACAATGGTCACAGTTGGAAAGCAGAGCTTGGGTGAAGTCTCAGAGGTCAAAAAGAGCGTTGCCTTATAAGGCATCCAACATGTGGGCGGAGCATGAAGTGCACATGTGTTGGGAGGTCATGGTCAAAAATGAGACTGGGTTGCTAAATAGGAAGCTAACACAGGAGAGTTTCGTAAGGGAAAAAAATGTCTTAAAGGTTAGACTTTTAGGGCGCCTGGGTGGCTCAGTCAGTTAAGTGTCCAACTCTTGGTGTCGGCTCAGGTCACGATCCCAGGTTCTTGAGTTCAAGTTCCATGTTTGGCCCTCTGCTGTCAACTCAGAGCCCGCTTCAGATTCTCTGTCCCCTTCTCTCCCTGCTCTTCCCCCACTCGTGCTCCCTCCCTCTCTCTCAAAACATAAATAAATATTTAAAAAAAAAAAAGAGTTTAAACTTTTTCTTAGGACAATGAGGAGCCAAAGCCTGGAAGTGGCCACAGTGTTGGAAGGTGGTGAACATAAGACAGCTGTTATTGAGATCCACGTGGGATATAATCATGTAATAGTAAAGCACGAGAGCGATAATGGAGACAACTGAACAGATATTAGACCCGAGGAGAACTTGCCTACACACGGCAAATTAATAGCATGGTAGGTATTTAATTTCTATTGGGAAGATGTGATGTAGATAAATCTGAAATGGGCCATGGAGATCATTTGGCTTGTGCCTTCAGAAATTATAGACATCTGGGATCGTCTAAAGCATAATCTACAGGGAGCATCACAGGATGAACTTGAGAGCAGAGCTCACCCATCACCAGACATTCATCCTGCCAACCCATTTGTCTCAGAATCAAGTTCAAAGTGAGATCTGTTTAAAGAGATTCTCAGGCTGCAATTCTAGTACTGCATCTCCATGCCTGACTCTGTAAGCACATGTATCCACACAGTAGCATCTAATCTCATCTTCTAAATTCCTGTTTATTTTGTGGTGAGCACCTGGGTTCATAAGGAACAAGTTTCCTTGCTCACAGAAGGTCCACAGGATATTTCCCCAGCCCCCAAATGTATCTATACCCCACTACCAGCAGCCGTGACCACATTTATAACTTAAATCTGCCAATGGAGAATCTTCTATAGAGAATTCTATGAAGAATTTGCTCCTCAAATTTAATCACTTTTACATAAATTTGTTCAGCTTGTTGAAACTACACTAGTCATTGGTAATGATGAAACAAAGTGCTGAAAGGGGAATAGATAAGTTCAAGTACAGAAATATGTTGGCTTCTTCTGTTTTCTTTGTCTCCCTTTCCTGAGTACATACCCAAAAAGAAATCATCTACTTTGGAGCTCTGAGGACATACTATTTCCTTTTTATCTTATTCATTTATATTTTCTATTTTTGCAAAATATTTGGTGTTAGCCTTCCTTGAAATATCTGCACTGAAGTTTTACTCAAGTAGGAAATCCTGGAAGATATTGATTTAAGAACACTATTGTAATATACTAAAGAAGTAAGTCCTGATGTTTGATTATCTGTAGTTTTCTACTGTGCCCTCCCTCTAAAACTCTCCTTATGCAAATTTCCTTAATCATAACATTAAATTACTAATCAACAAAATGGAAAAGAATAGTCCTTAAAATTTCATTGTGATGGGTTATCAAAACTGAGAGGGTGAAATGCCCTCTAATTCCCCCCTTTAAAATATTCTGAAAATGACTCTAACTTTTTCTTTAGGAAAAATCGATTATCCCAAAGCGCAGAAAGCAGGCTTGTCATACCCAAGTTTTATTTGTCTAAGACAAGAAGTTTCTTGGGAATGTGACGTAAGGATAAAGTGTGTATTCTTCCAGCATAAGACTGCTCCAGGCCTCCTTTGCAAACAGTCCATGTTTTGTAATCAGTGATGATCATCAGGGCTACTGTCAGGAGGTTCTATAGCCTCTATTTCTCAGAGAGTTTGGCTTCCCATGGCTAGGTATGTGTTAATGGTATACAGGAAGAACATAATACAAAGCATCATGATAACCACTGAGAATGTAGCCAGAATTACAATGGACATCATCTTTTCCTGGGTCCCTAATAGCACACATTCATAGGGTCCATAACACATGTGGGTACTGCACCGAATGGAGTTTTTAATCAGTGGTAGGTGATAGTGGATAAGAATGGCCAAGAAGACCACCTGTATAGACAACTGTATGAGAAAGTAGACGAGATACATTGCCAACAGGGGCTTTTCCCGGGAGAGGTCAAAAATCTCCTCCTCATTGATCTTTACATGCTCTGTCTTGCTGTCACTGTCAGCGAGCTTCTTTTCTAAAGAGTCCTTCTTCGATATCTTGGTCAGTTTATGCACACTCTGAGAGACAAAAAACTCCATCACGAAAAAGATGAAGGAAAAGGCAAAGCCAACCATGTACCAAACTCCAAGCACAGGCCTGGCGAAGTGATTCTCGTAGCATTCTGCTAGACAGACTTTGGAGATGTTCCCATGGCACTGGAAGTCTTTGACCAGACAAAGCCAGGTGATTTGCACTACATACACAAGTGAACCATAAAGGAAAGTAATGCTGAACCACAGTGCTCGCCCTATGTAAAACTTTGTTGGATCTTTACTCATCTTCAATATGACAGGGGCTGCACCCCCCAATTTAGTAGGCTGAGCCATCTTGGAATCTAGGAAGACAAAGGCAAAGTAGCGTCAGGGGGAAAGAATGACTGTATTTTAGCCCCTTTGTACCAGCTCTGCTATTCTTTTATTAAGTGCTCTCTGTGAGGGAACTCGATGATCTTAGGTGAGAGAACAACTCCCAAAAGAGTTTAGGAGAGTGTTCACAATAATCATGGCCACTTAATAATATTTCCTATTCTCTCATTCACTAACCCCCTTCTAATTTTTCCTTACCAGTCTCTCTTCCCAACCCCATTTCATTTCCCAACCTCTTCCCACAGGTTATTAAATTCTCCACACCGCTATCCTGTTTGCTCTTAGCACAAGCTCTGGGCCATTTACTTTTTTTTTTTTTTTTTTTAATAACCTGTGTACCAGCCTGTGTCAATCAATCCACTCTGATCAACAGTCCAGTTCCAACTGTCATAGAACTCCCACAGGTATCCGAATGTAAGTGCTGAAAGGTAAGTCTTCATCACTTCTCCCTGTGATGTACCCATCTGATAGATTAACTGAACTGACTAGAGTCAGTTGAGGCCAACTTTCCCATTTGTAGTTTCAAAATCTGCTTCTGATTAACCGGTCGAGATGCACGGATTGCCTTTCACTGAGGGAGCAGTGTAAATGTCTTATTTGCATTATATTCTGTGGCTCATCCTTTTGAGCATACTTTGAGAATCAAACAAAATTCTGACGTAGAAAAATGAATGAGGTAGTTCTTGCCTTTAATTACTGATCTGATTCGCATTTCCTTGGTGATTGGGGAGAGTAAGCATATATATACTTCAATAACAAAATAAAAATAAAAAAGAATTACAGATCTGATGGGGAAGAGAGCTTTTCCTCCAATAAGTTTATTGTGACCTCTGTGGTTTCTGTAATTCCCTATCCCTCCTATGAGCTAGAAAGATGTTTTCAGAACAAATTATTATTATAATAGTCTAACCGTCAATGCTTGCTTCCCTACCAAGATGGCTGAGACTTTTGGGGGCCTGCATCATAGTTTAACTTCTTTGCCTGTTCCCTCTTGTTTTTCCATACCCCTGCCCCTCTGCTTTCCTTCAGAGATATTAATCCTTAATAAATGTTTTATACCCTCAACTCTGTCTCAATATCTGCTTCTAGAAATGTCATCCAGCAATACTCTTCTTCAGATCTTGGGGAGCCTAAGAGACAAGCCAGACAGAGAACAGGGCTCCTTCTTCATCCCTGGGGTCACAGTTAGTGGAAAGCGAAGCATTCTGTAGAAAACACCACGCTTAATCCTTGCTCTGGGACTCTGAAAAAACTCTCACACAGAGGCTTGCCTCAGTTTTCTCTATGGGGATTTGCTACAGAGCCTGAAGTCAAACTTGCTGGATGGGTGGTTCAGTTGCTGCCCACTTTAGGAGAACGGAACGTGTTGAAAATAAAATTGGAGGAGGGGTGGGATACATTCAGACTGAAATATTCCCAGCATCCCCTCCTAAGTTTTTAGGTTACTTAAAATGATTTATGTAGTTTCTTGAGTAGATTTTCAGTACACTTTGAAGTGTAAGACATACACAAGAAAGTGCGCAAGTCACATTGTTCGGTTCTATGAATTTTGCAGAATGGACACACTCAAGTAATTGTCATCTAGATCAAGAAAGGAACATACCAACATCCCTCAAGCCTCATTTGTACATTCCTTTAGTTACCGTTCTCCACTGTGTAAACAATATCTGAACATCTGACAATATAATTTGTCTGCTCTGGAAATGCACATCAATGAATCATAAAGTATATAATCTTTTGTGCCTGGATTTTTTTGTTTGTTTTATATATTGTTTGTGAGATCCATTTCTAATATTGTTGAGTGTAGTTGTGGCTCTTTCCTTCTCTTTGCTATAGAGTGTTCCACTGTGTGACTATACCGTATTTTATTTACTCATTTTATTTTTCTGTTCAATTTTAGGTTTTTTATTTTAATTTCTTAAAATTTATTCATTTTAATGCTGGTGATTTTAAAGTTGGGTTTTTTACAAATGCTGCCTTCATAACTATTTGGCACATGTATTATGATATGTTACTTACACCTCCATGGAATGAGAGATTTTCTCTGCATATTCACCAACACTTTGCATTGTCAAGTGGTTTTCATTTTAGTTTAGTTTTTTTAATATAATTTTTAAATTTAATTTGAGAGAGAAAGCATGGGCAGAGGGACAGAGAGAGAGAGAAAAAGAATCCCAAGCAGGCTCCTCACTGTCAGTGCAGAGCCCAATGCAGGGCTCAAACTCACGATCCTGAGATCATGACCCCATCCAAAGTCGGACGCTTAACTGACGGAGCCACTCAGGCGCTCCAGGTGTTTTTCATTTTAGCTATTCTGGTACGTAGTTGTATTGCATATAGATTTAATTTGCATTTCCCCGATGGTTAATGAAATTGAGCAATTTTCAAATACTCATTGGCTATTGAATATTGTCTTTTGTGAAATACTCGGTCCAGTCTTTTGCCCATTTTTCTTTAATATAAAGTTATACATCTTTTTCTTATTGAACTGTAGGAGTCCTTTGTTCTGGATATGACTCCTTGGTAGATATGTGAATTGCAAATATCTTCTCCCATTCTGAGTGATGCCTTTCCATCCTCTTAATAGCATCACTTAATTAACAGAAGTTTTTCATATTAATATTGTTGAAACCTATGTTTATTTCAAGTTAGTGATCTGTGTGTCCTATTTAAGAAACAGCTTACTCCAATATCATGAAAATGTTCTGTTTCCTACTAAAAACTTTATTGTTTTACCTTTTTAAAAATATCTTGGGGGCACCTGGGTAGCTCAGTCAGTTAAGCATCCAATTTTGGCTCAGGTCATGATCTTACTGTTTGTGAGTTTGAGCCCCACACTGGGCTCTGTGCTGATGGCTCAGAGCCAAAAGCCTACTTCGGATTCTGTGTTTCCCTCTCTCTGCCTCTCCCCAGCTCACGCTTTGTCTCTCTCTCTCTCTCTCTCAAAAATAAATAAACATTAAAAAAATTTTTTTAAATGTCTTGTACTAAGGTATAATACAGTAAAATTCTCCCCTTTTGAGGGTATACTTCTGCAAGTGTTTACAAAAGCATATAGTTGTGTAAACACCCCCAAAATCAAGAGGCAGAACTATTTCACTATACTCACTGAGCCACCCAGGTGCCCCTATGGGTTTTTTTAAATTAATGAAATATCTTTTAACGTCTCTTTGAATATCTTACTTTTAGTTATTTTATAGATCATCTACGTTTTCTAAAAATGTTTCCTTGGGTATAAGATGTTTCATTTGCTGTGTTTATTGTCTCTCTCTCGTAATGTTTATTTTCTTCAAACATTTTGTGCCTTTTGGCCCTGCAATAATTTTCATGTTAAAGTCTTTCGGACTCCCTAGAATTTCTATTTGTGAATCTGACCTTAAGACATGAATGTGATTACTCTGCCAATTGCCCTTGGATTTCTTCCCGTGCTAAATGTGAAGCATTCTTGGAACTACCATTCAAATGTCTCGGTGGTATTATATGTGATATTAAAAATGCATCTGGAGGGTTGACATACTTATTTCATATCATTCTGTATGTTCTCTTGCTCCAAGAATTGTATATGAATCTAGGTTGATTGATGTTCCACTTACTGAATTTAAGCACCGTTACAGATTTTTAGAAAATACTTGCCTTGTCATTCTGAAAGTCTTGATGCAAAAGGGAAAATTCTACAGTTCACCATTTTCGATGGAGGTCAGCAACATTTTTCTGCTCTATTGGAATCATACAGAAGTTCCCAATGAAAAACGAGGAGATAATCCCTGCATTTTGGCATGACAGTTTTACATCCTACTTTTCCCATTGTTGATCATTGCTTAATGCTGAGAATTTGTGTCGATAACAATAACAATCAGTAAGCTATTGTTTCTTTGTGTTCTCATCTCAAACCCTTTCTCTTCCCTTTATCCTACCATGTATTTTAAAGTTGTCTCTGGGGAAGGAGAAAAAATAATTACAGGCAAAGAGGGGAGGGAGGCAAACCATAAGAGAATCTTAAATATAGAGAACAAACTGAAGGTTAATTTTTCAAGGAACCTCCATCCTGTTTTCCACAGTGGCCGCACCAGCTTGCATTCCCACCAACAGTGCACAAAGGTTCCCTTTTCTCTGCATCCTCACCAGCACTTCTTGTTTCATGTGTTTTTTATTTTAGCCATTCTGACAGGTGTGCAGTGATATCCCACTGCAGTTCTGATTTGTATTTCCCTGATGATCAGTGATGTTGAGTGTCTTGTCATATGTGTTTGTCATTTGCATGTCTGATTTTCTGTGTGCTGATTTCATATTTGCAACATTGCAAATTTATTAGCTAAAATAGGTGGGTGTTATTTTGGGGCATTCATTAAGATTTTCTACATATAAAATCATGTTATCTGAAAATAAAGATAGTTTCACTCCTTTGTCTCTGAATTAGATGCCTTTATTTTTTATTGAGTAGCTAGATTTACTTAATTGCTCTAGCTAGAAATTCTAGTAAAATGCTGAATAGAAGTGGTGAAAGCAGACATCCTTGGCTTGTGCCTGATCTTAGGAGGAAATCTTTCATTCTTTCACCACTGAGTATGATGTTAGCTGTGGGATTTGTATTCATACACTCTGTCAGGTGAGGATATTGTCTTCTATTCATATTTGATTGACTGTTTTTATCATGAAAGGGTGGGAAATTTTGTCAAATTCTTTTTCTGCACCTATTAACATAGTCATAAATAGAACCTGTTAATGTAATACATCCCATACAATGTGCTGTATTACATTGATTTACTTTCTTATTTTGAACCACAATTACACTCCTAGAATAAACACCACTTGGTCATAATGTATAAGACTTTTAATATGCTATTAGATCCAATCTGCTAGTATTTTACAAAGGACTTTTGCATCAATACTCATAAGAGATGTTTGCTTACAGATGGTATTAATTCTTTAAACCTTTGGTAGAATTCACCAATGAAGCCTTCTGGTCTTGGCCTTTTATATGTTGACAAGTTTTGATCATTGATTAAATATCTTTACTTGTTATAAATGTATTCAAATTTCCTGTTTGTTTTTTAGTCCGTTTTTTTTTTGTTTGTTTGTTTGTTGTGTTTCCAGAACTTGTCTATTTCATCCAGGTTATATCATTTGCTAGAGTACAGATGTTCATGGCACTCGATTTTAATTATTTTTATTCCTATCAGGTCATTAATATTCCTGCTTCTATTTCTTCTTTTAGTGTTTATTTATTTGTTTTAAGAAAGAGAGAGAGAGCGCAGGGGCAGAGAGAGAGGGAGAGAGAATCCCAAGCAGGTGGCACACAGTCAGTGCGGACCCCAACATAAGGCTTGATATCACGAACTGTGAGGTCATGACTGGAGCTGAAATCAAGAGTA